TATACTAGAGAGATAGTGTTAGAGAGGGAAGGAGAAAAATGAAGGAATGAGGAGAAAAACCCTGTAGAGAGAAGATCAAAAAAGAAGAAGTTTAACTTTCGATCCGAAAGTTTAAGCCAAGTTCTTCTTCTATCTCTTTCTCTTTGATTCGTGTTTTTGTACATGCCTAGGAAATTCCAGGATTTATTAAACACATAAAATTAAATAATTATGCATGTTTAATTGGGTTAGAACATAGGTTTTATGAAATTGGTTCATATCTGTTCTTGTGTTATGAATTGATAAAATGTATGGTTTTGATTTGATTTCTTATGTGAATTTTTACATGTTTAAATTATGTATTTTTCCTATCTGTGGAATGATGGAACGTAGAAACATGCCTAGGATTCCTGAACATTAAATAGGGACTAGGTTTGGGTTTTAATAAATTTAAATAGATTCAATCATAATGATGCTTGCTATTTGAATGTTTTAAACAAACGAATGGTTTTAATCTTTTAAAATATTTTAACAATTGAGATTAAATGTGTAGGATGAATTGGATATAGAGAATCCTTATTTAACGGTATAATAAAATATCATCATGCATAAGATTCAGTTTATGTAGGACATATGATATAGGAAGTTTAAAGAAATAATAAGTTATTCCTATTATGTGATAACTTGATATCATATTTATCATAGTTATTTATGAAATGTTTGATGTATTTCCTTAATTGTTACATCAATTGTTAAATTGTGTGGTTTAATGCACCGGTATGAGACGGTGGCATTCTAGGGATGGATTAACTTATCAGTTAAGTCCTACCTATTTTATATAAGGGAATGGATTAACTAAAATGTTAAATCTTACTTATATTTAAGTCAGGTCAGCTGAACAAGTTGAATGACTTATGGAGGATTAATATATTATATAAGGGAATGGATTAACTAAAATGTTAAGTCCTACTTATATTCAAGTCAGGTCAGCTGAACAAGTTGAATGACTTATGGAGGATTAATTTATACTGGATAGGATGGTTACTAGATTATATATATATAAGTATGGTGCCATGATATGAGCTTGAGTCTCAGGATCAATGGTTAGGGCGCGTATATCGCCATGAATGTGTAGCTAGATATAGTGTAGTTGTGTACCTTGGTAGGTCTAGGTACTCATGCCCACTATATGTGCGTTTTGCATGTTACTTACTATTCAGGTTGAGACAACCCTATAGTCTAGTGAGGTTCATTTAGTGTGTATATATATATATACGGACTACTAGTTACTGTTGGATTGACTAGGATGTATACGTGTATCGGATTTCTGCTTGGACTGTAGTAGAGTAGAACTTGTTTGTGGGCTTGACCCACTATTATTTTTCACGTGTTCGTCACGAGTAGAGGTTGTTCGTGCTGAGCGGGGATTAGTCTACTTCATTCTTCCGATGCTACATAGGAGTTCCTTTATGATTTAGTTTCCTGTTTTAGATTACTGTCATTTGTTTAGTTTGGATTTTCTAGGGGTCCACACAGTATGGATTCCCTAGTTGTATTTTGGAGGGTTGTATCAGAAGAATTTATTAATTAATGAAAATATATTATGAGGTTTATTATTAGATTATCATTTTAGTTTCTTGTCAGCATTTTATTTATTCTTCTTTATTCTTTTGTACTCTGTGTTCGTTTATTATTAATTTGTTTTGATATCCTCGGATATTCGGGCGTGGACCTGGCCAACCCGCATTCGGAAATTCAGGGGTATCACATTGTATATGTGCCATGGCTAAAAAAATGAAGATTAAGTTTGATAAGTATTGGGGAAACATTGAAAAGTTGAATGTAATGCTATTCATTGTAAATGTGTTAGACCCTCGTTGTAAATTAATGTATTTAAGGTTTTGTTTCTCCAAAATTCATGATCTAACCAAGGTAATTGTGTTGATGAAAAGGATAGCAGATATGCTGAAACGTCTTTTTGATGAGTTTGAAAAGGCTGAGTTAGCTAATTCATCCTCATTTCAAATTGTAAATGTTGAGACTAATACTATGGTGATTGCCCATTAGGTGGTACAAATGATGTGGTCTCACTATCAGAGTTTGAAAAACATATGGAACAAGAAGGTGATGAGAGAGACAAAACTAAAGTAAACAAATATTTGGAGGAATCTCGTGAAAAGAATAGTTCAAACTTTGATATTTTGAATTGGTGGAAGGTGAATAGTGTGAGGTATAAAGTTCTTTCTGAAGTTGCAAGGGTTGTTTTAGCCATTCCCGTCTCTACCGTTGCTTCCGAGTCCACATTTAGTAAGGGAGGTCGTGTTCTTGATCGATTTCGTAGTTCTCTTAGTCCCAAATTTGTGAAATGCTTAATTTGCGGACAAGATTGGTTGCGTTCTTCACCAGTCCCAATTCAAGTGGAAGAAACTATGGCTGAAATTAAAGCAATTGAATCTAGTACTATTAATTTTATATAAAATATAGTTTTAAAGTATTTTGCTTTTATTAAAATATTTAGAAAAATTGTCTTTGCCTTTTGTAGATGAGAATGTAGTAGCTGGTTAGCACTTGGCAACAGCATGCAGCCAGGCATGATGCATCAGAATGTCTCACTGAGTCACTGGTGAGTTCTTTTGTAGTTCTTTTACTGGTTATACTTTTTTAGTTTCAAATTCACCACATTCTGTAACTCTTGTTTTTTTTAAAAGGTGGGGAAAATGCTTTCTGTGTGAGGTTGTGCGCAGCTAAAATGGAGGCTGTTGCTGATGATGCTGCATAATGGACTATTAGTATTAGATTTCATATCAACTATTAGTGAATGATGTTGGATTGTTGAATGTTGAATGTTGATTCAGTTTTTTTTTTTTTGTAATTCTAATGGAGTAACTGAATTTGTGGGATGTAATATTTTTATATTTTGTGTTTATTTATGTTTTTATTTTTGTTATTGTATTTGTATTTTTTTTAAGGAAAATTAAAATAATATTGAAAAAGTCAGCTTGGTCAACGGTTCCATGGAACCGAACCGGAACCGAACCGTTTTTCACGGTTCGGTTCCGCTGTCCAAGGTTCCGGTTCCGGTTCCATTTTTTAGGAACCGTTAAGACCGGTTCCTGTTCCGGTTCTAGTAGGAAACCGTACCGAACTGAACCGTGTGCACCCTAGAAGTAACAGGCAAGCACTAAACGCACCTGCATACCCTGACATAAACCCACGTGAAGGAGTCCCACATGGAAGCGATCGGCCAGGGTCCACCACAAACCGGCCCAACCACACAAGACCCACCAGAGCCCAATCCACACCAACCGGGAACACCCCTACGATCGAAACCGACGACGAACGCCGACCACTAACCGGCACATAACAAAGGAACAAACACACAGCAGCCATCGCCGCCGAGAACCCACCCAAACAAAAACAAAGAACAGAGGTAAAAGTAGCACAGGAAGAAACCACCAGGACCACAAGAAGAAAACCTCATGATCAAATCGAAAACGGAAACGTGAATAGCTTGGAACAAGCATCATGCTTAACCCACAACAAGATCAAAGAGCAACGACAACAAGAAAAAGAAAAATCAAAACTCTAATCACACAGAGAACTCAGCGAAACTGAGAACTCTCATGAGAGAAGGTGAGTTTGGTTAATGTATGCGCGTGTTTTGTAACTGAAACTTGAGAATAGAGTACATATCTCATAGATGGTTATCATCAAAAGCTAGTTTTACCCTCTCTTTTTTCTCCAAGATAATTGCATATATATATATATATATATATATATATATATATATATTTCCATAAATCAGCAATCCATATTTCTAGGTTTGGTAATGATGTTTTGTACGTACAATAACAAACCAAGAAATATGTACATATATATATACAGAGAGAGAGAGAGAGAGTACAATATATGTTTGTTCTCGTCATGGACTTTTTGTTTTCTTTTCTATATAATACAATATATTTAGATCAGTATAATTAATGCAGCTCAACAAATAAGTGGAATTGCAGGAACAATCGGATTGTTTTCCCCACAAAAATATGAACATGATCCATTGAATGTGAAAACCATCCTTACCTTCCATTTTTGCAATTTGGTTTGCACCATAAATATATATATATATATATATAGGGAATGTGAAATCAAAAACTATATGTATCCAATTATAAATTATAAAGTAATTATAAAGTGCTCTACAAAGACCGATAGAACCATTCTAAAAATAAAAATTATTCTCTCCGTTTCATAATAGATGGGTCACAGTTCCTAAAGTATCCATTTATTATGAGACAGAGGAAATATAAAAGTAATAAAAATCTCAGCTGAAAAGTAGAACTTATGAAAATTTATTTACATGCAGACGTACATACATATATATATATATATAAACATGAAGAAGTTATGTAGGGAGTATATATACCATATTGTCTGGTAATGATGAGCTTTGTACGTACAATAACAAACCGAGAAATATGTATATAGAGAGAGAGAGAGAGAGAGACCAAGGGAGGTGCATTATCTTCTTCGAATGGCACTTGACTGAAGGGATATTGTAAGGAGAACTGTGTTGTTGCTTTGTGTTTACATGAAGAAGTTATGTAGGGAGTATATATAAACATGAAGAAGTTATGTAGGGAGTATATATATAAGAAGATAATGCACCTCCCTTGGTCTCTCTCTCTCTCTCTCTCTCTATACATATTTCTCGGTTTGTTATTGTACGTACAAAGCTCATCATTACCAGACAATATGGTCATCTGGCTCATCTCTCTCTCTCTCTCTCTCTCTCTTTGTTTTTTCTGCATTAGAGTAATCCCTCATTCACAACCACTCCATATAAATGAAGAGCAACAACCCATCTTTATCACTCCCTCATATTCTTTTGTTTCTAGCCCCCTTTTTATGCAAGACCATTTAGAACAGGACAATGAATACATATAATTCAGCTCTCTCTCTCTCTACCATTTTGTTTCTACGATTATAATATATATATATACATATGTGACATTAAATTTAAAACCTATTAGAAGAAGACAATACTAGATCTATATATATATATATATATATATATATCACAATTTTCATTGTCTCTCTCAACTATTGCTTTAATTAATCCAGCGAAACCTTCCTCATGCACATAAAATTGATTTACATTTACAGGATAACATAATAATAATACTATTTAGATATTAAAAAGCTAAAGCAAAAAAGATAAAAAGAAAAAGAATCCTATCTCCTCCTTTCAAGTTGCACCAAGTAATCCAATATGGCAATGAGGCTACTGGGATTAATCTGACCATCAAGAGACAAACAACCTATCTGTCATTTCTCATCTTCTTCAAAAGTTCGCAAAGTGATGGTTCTGTGAAGATTGAACCATTTGCAAATCCGTGCTTGTTTGGCAAGAGTTATCGTCGCTGATCAAATTCCTACAGAAAATAAAAAGAATGAAGGCATAATAGGGTATGAAAATATCAAGATTAAACCAGAGAAATAACTATAGATTAAGAAAAAAAATTTGTCCTTTTTTATTTTTTTAACCAAGTTACAAGTAGACATAATTGTGCATAAAGTCATAAACTAACTAATAGTGTGTGCTTCATTACTGTCAACTTCTCCTTTCAAAAGTGGCAAACTAGGGGAGGGAAAGCTCGAATACAAGCATACCAGCTCGGGGATCTAGGCGTCTACCAACTAGACTACTGGATAATATTTGATTCAACTTTTGTCATGATTATCAAGAAGAAAGACTTTAATTGCACTGAAACCAAAAGGTTGGATATGTTTCAAGTAAATAACTGACCTTTTTCTTTTTCACCTAATCTTGAGCTAATGAATATTCAGTTTTTAAAGTAACTTCTTTACTTTACTCCTCTTTTTTCCTACCAAGTCCTTTTCTTTCCCTTTTTGTCTAAAAAAGTTGCCCAAACAGTAGTATGGGCTTTGGAGGTTTAAAGAGAGTTGTTCTATATGCAACTTAATTTGGACTTTCAGAGATTTAAACAGTGTAAAAAGAAGGGTACTACACCCTTCTTTAATACTATAAATTCTAAATACACTCTAAAATATGGAAAATGATTCTCTAACACAACCAAAAACTCTAAAACCGATACTTTTCCAGCATTCTGATGCAGCAAAGTGGGAGGGCTGGGAATGTATTGGCTTTCTAAGTCCGTTGTTCTGTTCTGCCAGTCTATCATTACTCTTTGAACTATATTAGGAATGTGTATGCAGTACTTACTCTCGAGGGCGAGATGCCCAGAGGGAACTTAGAGCTCGTAGGCGGCCATAGTACTCGCCAATCACCAAGAAACATCTTGCTGCCTGTCGAACAGTCAATAATCGGTGCAATTGATGAAGAGTTTGCTGTCTTAAATTATCAGCCTACAAAGTCGATAAAAAAAAAAAAAAAAAAAATCAAATATAACATAATAATGTTCAAGCAAATAAATAAATTCAAAATCAATGAAAGAGACAAGAATAAGTCCAATTATATAAAGGATCAAACACAACCATGTTATTCAATTTGAGATGGGACCTATACGCATGGGCACAAACTTTAAATTAACAAAACTTCATATGAGGTTTGGACCATTCCAACAGCAAATTAAAAATTTAATATGCGTTCTTCAATTCTTCAATTAAACTATCCATATAATGCTTTCCCAGAATTATTTAAAAATTTTGTTGACAGGTGATCTTTTCAGCAGGTGTCATTTTCAAACTCCACTGTGATAGAAACAATTTAATTAGATGAAAAAACAACATCAAGTACTCTCTCATTCAACACTGTGAATTGACTTCTTAGCAGCGTAGCAATGTATTTTCATTCAAAAATAAAAAAAATCATTGATGAATGAAGAATTATAAATTAAAATAAGCCAATCAAGTAGAGGAACGATTTCATCCATCAATCATATGCAAGGCAAATATGCACTCAAGGAATCCATTGATCAACTGTATGAAAATGCCTTGTGTTCGACTCTTTCTATTGACAAAAATGTTTCAGAAAAATGAACACGTGACACGGTGTCGATTCATCTAATTTGAGAGTACTAGAAGTGTTTTTGTGATAGGTTTAATTACCTGGCGAACAAAGCCTTCAAGATCAGTAAGCTTGCCCAGAGCAACCACCATATGATGCATGCCATCACTGACAGACCCTCCTGCAATAATGTCAATCATAGACTGTTGTAGCTGTTCCAAACCCTGGGTAAGGGCCTCCTCGGCCTGTTGTGAGGAATGCTGGAGGTTGTAAATCCCCATGATTTGCTGCTCAGTTAACGGGTCCAGTTGTCCTATTAACATCTGATAAAGGAAAAACACACACACATACACACACAAAATGAGTTAAAAGAAGTAAAGGTTATTGCTTGGTGCATTGGTAAAATGCTTGGGCTGTCGAGCGTGAGAGCATGAGTTTGAATCTCTAGAGCAATCACTTTGTGCAAATAATGTTTTGGGTCAGTATCCAATTCAAGGCTCGTGAAGGTCATTGTTGTAATTTTGAGCAGAGAGCTAATTTTGATCAAGCATGTAACTAACACCAATGATTACTCTAGAAACTGTAACTAGTAATGGTTTATTAATCATTGACATGGCAAGAAAAGGAAGTCCAAAAGTGTTATTCCATGAAAAATCTGTTTTAAGTCATAAAAAGGAGCATTTTAGTTTAAGGACTTACTTAGCCTTGTGAACAACTCTTTTTGGATTGGCCAGGTGTGCTTGAGAATAAATCTTCCTTGTGTTTGAACTTCTTGGCAAAATCACAAATGACCAGAATGACCTGATTTGTTCCTTATCTTGAAAGAAACTAAATGACTAAATTACTCCTACATTTTTATGGATTGGGTAAAAAGTCCACTATGATGACTAAAGTGACAAGATAGTTGTAATGAATGCAGTTATATTCAAAACAGTGGCTTAAGTGAACATGGTTTAGAAACAATATGCTGGAAATTGAAACCTTGATGAGTTCAGAGGGCCGGAAACCGCCCATCCAGAGGAAGCAGCGTTCTGCCGGAGTAAGCCACATTCCGGTGACGAGGTGGAAGACATCAGATTTGGCTGCCATAACTTTCAGGCGGAAAATTTCGTCATAGTGAGCAATGTATCCTTCAACTATTATTCTCAGATCACCATCTGATAAATGTGCCTGCAAAGCTGTCCTGAGCTCCGACATATGCCTGTGGTCATCATCTAACCATCTGGCATACTCCATGTCAAATATTGCAGCACCTGCAATAATTAAAATATATATATATATTAACAATAGCAATTTGGAGCCTTAATAACTATTCACTTAAGGAGTATTATATTATTTGTTTGACAATGTTGCATTTCTTTGACAAGGAAAATTACATTGACTTTATGAGTAAGTGGATTAAGAGATTTGATTTTGGTGAATCAGAAAAGTAAGCCTATGAATATTCTAGAAATCATGGAGACTATTTTGGGTTGGTGTTGAAGGATGCATTGAAATACTTGACTAACACCAACAGTAATCTCTGACAATTGGAATGCATTGAAATGCTTGAATAAGGTTCAGATACATAATGTTGAAGATTTTAGAAGTTTGTCATTATTGTATAACTTATTGTTTTCATAACAACTGTTCCATAAAACAAAAGGGAAAGGACAAGAAATTAGACATCTTCCAAGTCAAATTCAGAATTTCTGTCTATTCAAATAATGAAATCAACATTGAATACATTGAAATCCAAAACAGGAGTTAGCATAATCTGACAGAAAATCTAGTTCTAAAACTTTCAGATCAAAGCTACAGCTAGCAGGTCAAACTTGGCCGGAAACTAACATTTTGGATATCATGTTCAGTGCCTCTGTAGGAACAAAAACTGAATCGTTTTATTTATTTTTTGACAATCACTTTAATCAAATAACAAGAAGGTAAAAAATTTCACTTCATTTGCTATTCAATTTGATCAAAGTCAAAAATTGAATAACACCATTCATACGGTGGTAACCCTTAATTAAATACCAATGACAAAAAGGGTTTTTTTTTAATGCAACTTTTGAGTCCAATGTAAAAGGTCGGGGTATTTTGGTAAAACTCACCAGAGCTAATACTTCCACCGGCACCGGCACCTCCTCCCATGAACAACCCCTGTTAACCCAAACGATCAATGTCACAAACAATTAATTAACTCACAAAAATAGCGCACACACAATTATACTTATTTGTACAAGCTTTTGCTGAAATTAAAAACCTGAGCTCGAGCTCGTTGAAGGTCCTGCTCTAGCTGACTGAGCTTGATCCTACTTGATTCCAACTGCTGTACATAGGCCTGTTCAAGAACAGAGAAAGAGATTAATGGGAAGTGAGATTCTAGAATTTTAAGCCCGGAAGTGTGCCGGAATTCGACATTTTCAGGCAAGTTACTGCGGCTGGAATCTGATCCACACCTTTTTTCTGAGTCTGCTCTTCCTTGCAGCTTCTCTGTTTTGAGCCAAACGCCTTAATGTCTGTAACCAATTTATGCATATGTTTTCAGCTTAAATTTTACAACTTCAAAAAGTAATTAATATTAGCATCAGTCCTCAAATCAAGTGAGAAAAATTAAGAACCAAAAAAAAAAAAAAAAAAAATACAAACCAAGCAAAAATTATATATATTACAATAATACCTTTGCATCAAGTACCTTCTCTGAGGATGAACTAGCTCCCTTCCTCTGCAACATTCAGAAAGAAAAAAATAATAAATAAATAATTGTTGTTGGAAAAAGCTAGAGATGCCTAATTTTGTTGGAGTATACTTTAAGAAAAATTGCAGTAATAAAATTGTTTTCCTTTTGGCAGAGAAATATTGGCTATTGCCAATACAATGTACATCTTCCTTTCTTTGGCAATAAAGAGTCTAAAGGTAGCCCACATGATTATAAGATACTGTTTTTGATGGTAAAGAAATAGCAGTATCCCTGTTAGAGATTTTGTGATTTCTATAACCAAAGTGTATGATTAGAAGGAAGAGATACGACAGTCCGTACTTGGGCATGTCTGATATCTGATACTGATGTGAGAACTGTTGTTGCTGGAACAAGTAACCATCATTACATGGCGAATGTATATATTATTACCCGCCATATATATTCGTCGCTCAAGGGGTTTTTAGATTTGATATTCTAATTCCAAGATAGATTATGGCCTAAAAAGACAAGTACTTAAACTACAGTTTTGGGGATTGAATAAAGGTTGTCATTATTATAATAGATACGAAATAGTGGCAACTACTGTAAAGATTCACTCTTTTTCTCTATCTCATATTCTCAATTCATGTCAGACCTTAATCAGAAATCACCAAAATCAGAAAAACTCTGCCGTTGATTGATTTTCTTAAGGTTCTTGGGATCTGTGCCTTTTTTAGGGAGAGAAAAAGAGGGAGAGACCCCCCCAAAAAAAAAAATGTTGCCACCTTTTTCCCAGTTTTTGAAACGTACTAGTAAGAGAAGAGGTGGTTGATCTATGAGAAATAGGCATTAGAGGACAGTGGACTAAGAACCTTTTCTGGGGAAGATTTGGCAGCTAGTTGAGTGACTTGAGTCTGTGATAGTCTTGTTGTAGGGCTATCACTTGCCATCTCTAGCTGGTGCTGTTGATGTTGATGTTGATGTTGTTGTTGTTGGTGTTGTTGGTGTTGTGGTAGCATGAGATGCTTCTGATCAAAGGAGGTCTGATGATCTGAAGATGAAGATGCCTTTTTACTGATGGGAGATTCTGGTTCTAGTTGGGTATCAGCTTTACTTGAAAGAGTGTTCACTGCTGAACCTGAATCAGTACTCTCTCTCTCCCCTCCTGATTTTGAACTACCCTGGATAATTAAACAACACACCAACCAAAATTATCCAAAAGGGTATTAAAATATCAACTCAAATACCCATCTTTTCAAATGGGCATTCAAGAACCATCCCCACAGAAACATTTAAAAAAAAAAAAAAAGTTGTCATTTTTTCGAATGGGGGTATTACAGAGTAGTCTCAAAAACCCCAGGAGAGAGATGAAACAAAGATTAAGGTTGATGGCGTGCCATATAAAACAAATGGTCAAAGATATGAGAGAGAGAGAGAGAGAGAGTTACAGAAATTACTCTTGGGGTCTGATGGAATCTCATAGGCCATGAAGGGAACATTTCCAGAGTTGCTGCAGGCCTGGCTGTAAATAAAGCTGCACAGAATCACAAAAGCAGAATCTCTCAGCATCAGCAAAATAAAGACTCCAAGATTTTCAAAACTCGTGAAAGGGAAAACCTAATCCCCCTTTTCTCTTTTCTGCAGTTATGGAGTCAGTAAATCATGCAGAGGGCTCAGGTTTAAGCCCCCACGCCATCAAGTCCTTTGTCCCAAAATGATTACTCTATTGGAAATGGTAAACCTTCCTCTGTGAACTCTGTAGACATATTCAAACCTCTCTATGTCTCTCTCTCTCTCTAACCTCTCTGTCTCTGTCTCTCTCTCTCTCTCTAGGAGTTGGTTATGCATATCAAAGGAGGGGGAGAAAGAAAGTAGAAGCCTACGTGCTTTTGATGCATCATTATTGAGCCTAAGTCCTTGCAGCACAATAGCCTCCTCCAGCTCTCCAAAATCAAAAGCAGATCCTTCTTGATTACTGGAACAAAATAGTATTAATTTACAGATTGTCAGAAATGAACAGGGAACTAATAATATACCAATCAAATTAGAAAAAATGAAGCAAACCCATGTAGTAATCAATCTTTAATTTTGTACTCTGAGAAACAAAAAAAAAGGGTAGAAGATTGAAAAAAACCCATTTGGAAATTTTTTGCTAAGCCATACATGAAACTAGTACTAGCATGATTGAGCCCATGAAGAACTGCATATGGGTTGTGGTGGTTTGAAGGTCCCAAGTCTGACAAACCAGTCTCTCCAATTCTATGGTTCGCCATGCAACAAGAATAGGCTTCACACCATTCTAGTGCTTCTTCCTCTGGAAGCAACTGCAATAAACACAAGATGAAAAATAATTTTCCAGGAAAAGAAGAGAAAAGAAAGAAATAGAGCAATTGGGATTTTGGGATATTAGTTGGTTGAAATTCCAACCTGTGTACCTTCACTTCGCTGTTGAATTCCTAGAAACAAAGTCCTCTTAAGAGAGCCAAAAATAAAACTCTATTGAGAGAAAGACACTAGAGGAACAAAAAGATCAAAGCTTTCTTGTCAAACTATATCTAAGTAGACACCTCAGGATGGTCCAGTCCTAATCTCAAACACCTTTCAATCTCTTTTCCCATTGCACCTTTTGTTCTTTCATGGGTCTCTATCTTCTTTCTTTCTTTCTTTCTTCTCTCCTTCCCTATGAAGAAACCTTATTGACTATTCTGTTTGGGCTTGCTTTATCTCCTTCTCTAGCAATTATTATCAGATTTGAAACTCATCCCATGGTACAGAAGATCTTGTCCTTGCAAACCTGTCTGAAGCCCTCTGGTTTTTGTGGGGTTTGAAAACAAAAATTTTGCTATAAAATAATAATATCTCTTTTAGTTTGTTTTATATAAAGAAAAAAATGGTGGGCACTTGGAATCACTGACTCCAACTCCACTCTCTCTCTCTCTCTCTCTCTCTCTCTCTCTAACCGTCTCTGCTTTTTCATTGGTTCTTTTTGTGGAGCCTTCAGAAATTGCAAGTACTCATGTTGAAAGAGTAATGTAAAAACAGACGACGGTAAATTTCAACAGGGGAAAATGAGACAAGGCTTTCTTTCGAAAAAAGAAGGTAAAAGCTGATGAAAAAGAAGAGGATTTAAAGATGTTTGTTCTATTGATCTTTTTATGCCACATAAAGGGGGATTGAGTTTACTTTGACAACTCATGCCCTCTATTATCTCAGTCATAGTGTGTGTGTGTGTGAGAGAGAGAGAGAGAGAGAGAGAGAGAGATATTGTATTTAATTTGGAGTTTTGCTTGTACCATTTCAACAAAAAAAAAATAGAATAATTACCAATAAGAAAACACTAGTTGCATTTTTAATGCAAGCTTTAGAGATGGGTTTATTTGGTATTATCCCCTTTGTTGATGGGTCAACATCCATTCCCTGTCATTACCTAAAACCATGCCACATCAAGATTCCTTTCCATCAAATATTAGAAATTAATTTGTTTCATTAATGTCCCTTGGTTTAGGTCCATGGCACCGTGGACTAATTTGATGATTTGTTTCTCATTAGACTTCTAATTATTCCCACATTATAATCTTAGGTTAGTATTGTTATTAGACATCCCAACCCTTGTTGCTTAAACCCCAAAAGCCCTTAAATCCAATCTAGAAAGATTTAGTTTTTTCTACTTTAGTGTTTGTTTTGGATAAACATGACCATCATTATTGAGAAAAAGCATATATATATATATATAGATATGTATATGTATATGTATACACATATAGAGACACATATATAAGAAGAGGGGGGTGCTTTTAGGTAATGGAGGCCCATGATCCTTTTCATGAAGAGGTGGATACAAATATTTTATGTTGTGTTCATCTACTACCTTTTGTAATTTTAGGTAATATGCCCTCTTACCAATTATTCCTTGACAACCCAATGATTGGTCTAACAATTAGGGTTTGGCTCAAATAGAGTAGTGTTTCATGGATTAGGTGTACATGCAAATATTTGATTTTGATGCTATTACTTTTATTCTCAATTCAACTCACTAGTCTCACAACATGTTCTTCATATGTGAAAGAGTTCGAGGATTAGGGGATTCCATAGATCTTGCAAACCTTTAAAACTACACTTGTTTATAGTTTCATAATTGCTTCTATGTATGTATAAAGCTGATTGGTTTGGACCATATCTAAGTACTACTTATGGCTTCATCATAATGTTGTTAGATCAGATTAAGTCATTGCTTTGTCACTTAAGAATAGAACTAAAAAAATATTATAATATTTTTGTATTATAATGTGTATAATTTAAACAAATTCAACTTGCATTTTCTAGCTTTTGAAAAGGAAGTCCTAATTAACCAAGATTGTGATGAAGAGAAGACTTTGTTAATTATAGAGCATGTTGGTTCTAACTTGACCTTCCAGTACTAGAAAGATCACAGAGGCTGATGATTAGATTAGATGTACGTGGACGCAAGATCAAAATGAAGAATTAATCATGATTAATCAGTACCAAATTTTAAAAAGAAATTATTTTTTTTTTCCTCAAAAAAGAAAGTAATTAAATTATTAGAATTAATAATAGTGATTAAATTAAATCATAACCATATGATGGGAATTCCATATTCTTTCATCTCTTCTTGGAATCTTATAAACAAATGTGTTTTGCTTTCTTAGTCCCAAAGTTCCTCTCTTTCCCACTTGATATTCTGATTCGAATATTATTTGTTTGACCATCAAATCTCTCAAATTAAGTCCCAGAGTCCAAATTACCACCATGCCATTTACTTTATTCATGCTATGTTTACTAAATGGGGGATTGAATTTGAAATTGATGAAAATTTGTTTCAAACTTTGTATTAAATTTTTTTGATCAATTTCAAATTTAATCGTTGATTCGATACTAAATGGGGGATTTGATTTTGAAATTGATGAAAATTTGTTTCAAACTTTGTATTAATTTTTTTTGATCAATTTCAAATTTAATCGTTGATTCGGTACTTCCAAACGCTTCATTTGATATTTTTATAATCATAAAAATTTTGAGTGCTTGAATGAATTGCGGTATACAAACCTTAAATCGGTCTCCAAGCAGGCACGGTTCCATGCTATACTCACTATTATGTCTCACTATATTTGTCATTTTGATACATATATTTATGAAATATTACCATTGCTCCCCCTAAAATTATTTTCAAAATTTATTATTACCCCTCCCACATGAGTTTCTAAATCCATACCAACTCCAAGCAAATAAGAAGGAAAATAGATAAGAGTGTTGTATATAATCTATACAGATTAATCAATTCAAATAAAAAAACTTATATTTGGAGGGTTTGGTTCATGCATAGAGACTGATTTTTCTATACAGAGTAGGTGATGAAATTTGATTACTTATTATACTTTCTCTTATCCTCATTCCTCATGCCTTAAGTATAATTTTATCATTTTAATGAAACAGTATATGTAGGGCTAACTTAATTCTGACCCCTTTTCGTTTTTTTGAGAAAGAACTCTCCCACAATATTTTTAAAGAGATTCGAACTCTCTATTTTTCATTTTGAAAAAGAGAGAAAAAATCAATAAACCATCGGCACTGATAATTTATGATATTATTTTATACACGGTGATTATTCGCCGACTCAAAACTATATCTTATACGTGAGAGCTGCTAATTTTTATCATTGGACCAAATAATGATTTTCTAAATAAGTAAGAATATATGAAACTCACATTGTCGTATTCTCCTATATATATTAAAGGAAAAGGAAGTGAAGCCAGCTCCAAGTTTTTGGTGTTTTCCCTTTTTAGTACAAAAATGTATTTAATACGTCAACACCGCCAAACTATCCACTTGCACCAACTAACACCATGAAGACGTACATGGAAGTTTTTTCCAATTTCAACTATGCTGTATTTTGAAAACATTATCAATATATATATGTTCATCGCATTTTAATGCATTAACAAGTAAAAATAGTAGCATATACCAACTCTGACTCTGGTCCAGGTAATCAAGACTCTTTGATTCAAAATTAAAAAGTTATCAATCAAAGCCAGGTTTCGATCCTGGGACCCGTGGGTTATGAGCCCACCACGATTTCGCTGCGCCACTCTGATTTATTACAATCTGTTGAGGACTCTGTTTTTTTAAAAAAAAATTAATTCAGAATTTACAAGTGGCAACAAGTTGATAATTAAGGAAGATTTACTCAAAAAACATAATAATAATAAGTTGATTTTTTGTTCATTAGTATTGTGGAAGATATTAAGCTGTTTCAATCTTCTAAGTATACCAAATAACAAATATAATAATAATAATAAATAAATAAATCTTCTAAGAGTGAGAATTGTGGAATCTCTATCTTCTGAGGTAGGATTAAAATTACACTGAAGTGGGCAAATGGACGTTTTGTCTAAAAAAAAAAAAAAAAAAACTGATTTGCAGTGACAAATTTGACCATCTTGTCTTATTAATATATTTAACAATGATATTCCATTCCATATTTGATTCCTTAATAATATGTCTTGCTTTTGGGTTAAAATAATAATTATTATTATTATTAAATGAAAAAAAAAAATTGCGTGGAAATGTTACACATAGGGTGGGAAATATTTCCACTAATCAGGATACAGCACATGTGCAAGAGGGCTCCAATCACAGTGAGACACATGTCCATGCATGGGGCGGTCCAAGATCAAAGAGAATTGGGCCGGATCATGTAGAACGGGCCAATTGAGTAGGTATGCAACCGAAAGCCCATTCTGTCCAAAAAATAGAAGCGGAATGTGAAGCCCACTAGGCCCAAATGTAATCCATATCCAGCTGAAAGAAGCTCTCTGCAAGATAGCAAGTAATGAGTCCCGAAAGACTTCATCTAGGATTTGTGCTCGAATCCTTGTCTTTGGGCTCGAGCGGAGGCCCTTTCTCATATGAATTCTTTTTCTCCAGCTATTGGGGATCCCATTTCCTTACCAACCCAATATATGCTTATTGGACTCTATGTGTTAACGAGAATCGCCAAGTTATTTGTGTAAATAGGTATAATTCATGCAATTGCTGCAGAGATTATACGGACTCGAACAGTAGACCTTTTCCGTAAAACAGATCAAACTGATTATTATCAAAGTGATACAAACTGTTTCAAACTTTCAAAGATCCAACATGCATTCTATAATTCTTGTGTTACAGATGTTGGATGTTCGTAGAGAGAAATCTTTGCTTCAATTCAATCACGTTCCGGCGGAGATTTATTGTACCTACAATTTCAAGAAAAATAAAAATATATAAATAAAAAATAGTTATAATAGAAAATACTTATATTGAATTC